GTAAAAGCAATTAAAGTTACAGTAAAGGGGGAAAATCTTTATACAAAAAATAATTCAGTCAATGTTGAACGGATTATGGCCTTAAATAACCTGCCTAACAGGAAATACAGCGATTCCCTGACAGCACATTCATACCTTATTAGAGGCTGTGTTATACACTGGTTCTCTCTTTATGATTTATAAAAAAAAATTATGCGCATGTAATTTTACATTTCATATTAAACCATGAAAATCATTTATCTATTTGAAATTATGATTTGTATTAGTAGCCTAGTGGTTGTATTTCTGTGTATTTTCACTAACTCAGTAGTCTATCTGGAAATCATCTGTATCCGGAGCCATTACGCACAACGCAAGAAAAGGTTAAATCTGCATTTACTTTCGTTCAAAGGCCATTACAGCAAACATATAGTTTCGTTTTACTGCAGCATTAATCTGCATTTCATACAAACATCAGATAATAGAAACTGCGCTCAGTATACAAATTTAAATTAGTGCAACTGCTAAAATATTGATCACGGTGTTGTGAGGGAACAGTCACAGTGTGCCAGAGCAAAGCAGGCATAAAGCTTGCACATACAAGTCACACTGTCGGTCCAATTTGGGGCAATAAGGGCCACAATAAAACTCTCCTTCCATCTCGTAGTGTCCTTGGCCATGTGCACTCTATTGCTCTCTCCAGGTTGAAGTTAATCTCGGCCAGCTTTGCCATTACCAGGCCCAGGTGGCCGCTATAGCCCCCCGGGTTTGTTTGCAGCCTGTTGTACTGAAATGAGCAAATTTGGGGAAAATTCATAAATTGAGCCCATTTAGGTTTTTCAACCGCTGCTGTCATTGACAGCTCATTTATGTACACCGGCTTAGATAGCGCGTCGACGGTGGACATTTGTCAATCACTGCTGCTCAAAACGCACATATTTCAAATGACTTAAATGACTGCAAGTTGCTCGTAGGTTATTTACGTCTATATGGATATAACACAATAACCAATTTTCCATAGCAAAATGATATATTATAGAAATGTATAAAGTAAAGCGCATTTTCTGGAGTGCGGGGGTTTTAAAGACAAAAGCCGTACGCCGAGCGTTTGTGCCTGTTTAAGAAATTCCCAAAAACCATAAAATAATTCACTACAATGTCAGCCCAGTAAGAACACACAAACTAACAGCAATAAGTCTAAAGTCTGTGTACTCTTCCCCACAGTGGCCTGTTCCTTATGGGACATATGATCCAGTAAGGAAACTAAATACATCAATTAATTATGTTCGCCCGGTATTAAAGTGTTTTGGCCCTGCACACTCCATGGTCTTGTACTGGCATGGAGGCCTATCGATATCTTTGTGTTACAGTTATTAATTGTAGCTATTAAATCTTCATTTTCACAGCTGCCCGGCTATTATATCCTCAAAACAGTTTACTCTGACCACTGGCTTTGATCAGGCCCATATAATCGTAGCCGAAGAGGCAGTTTGAGTCGTATCATGTTCGTCTCGAGTGCAGTTATGAACAATAATGCGGCGTTTTATTACATCCAGCGGAAGCATTTATTTTTCACGAGAGACAAAGGGGAGAAAGAGATTCGGTCCACACGCATTAAGGTCCAGAATAGCCACTCGCCACTTGGACACCGAATAGCCTCATAGTGCAGATCTATGTCTATGACAGGAAGGAAAAGGGAGAAGCGATTGCTGCCTTATCACAATCAAATCTACTATTCTAATAACTGCCTTTAGACACTTGGCACGTTCAGAGAATCAAGTGTTTTGGAAGGACGTCAAAATGTTGTGAATGGAGGAGGAGGAAGACGAAGAAGATTGAGCATACAAGGCCAGCTGTTGTGATTTAAGATGAGCTGCATTACCAAGAGCTGAAAAAATGAAATCATTTGTTTTGTGCCCAGAACCCATTGCTTATACTGCTGTATCTTCAAGATACTAACTGCATCCATTTTTTTCTTAAACATTGAGGCAGACTTTCCCAAATCCAAAACATTTGTGGTTGGACTGGAAGGGGTTGCGGATCTCTCCAGGTACAAGCCGGCCATGCTATACTTCACCCATTAAAAAGCTCAAGCTCAGCAAAATGAATAGCACATGCAGCATGAAGGCTTGGCACAGATGTGTTGCCTTATTAGGGCCCCCAGGAAGACTTTCTCTACCGCACGGCCCAGTGAGCACGAGAGCTAGAAATGTGGAAACTAAACACAAAACGGTTCCTATCTCAAACCATCAGACCCCGCGAGCAAAGAGAAGAGTCCAAGAACTGAACACGTACATCTACCGAAGGTTGGTTCCTGCAAAGTAAAGCGAACTATTCACAGCTCCAGACTGTGTTGACACCAACTTTTACCTGCATGCATTTGAGGTGAGCTTGGAGACGAAAAGATCCACGGCAATGACATTGGTCCCAATAGCGCCGCCCGGTGGTAGAGGAGGGTCTAATCCTGAGTGCAGCTGTTGCCTCCACACCGATTCGTGGTGGATAAACCACACGAGGGGGAAAAGCCTCTCAAATGAAGTAGATGCAGCCAACAAGCAGAAGCTTTTCCTGTGCGTCCTCTCCCTGTCGTTGCTCTCGCCTCCTTGGTAACACAGTTAATAACCTTGGGTCTCAGACGGTTTATTGCACTGCACTCCAATTGTACAAATGCTCCAGACTCTCAGACAGCTTTTATGGCCGCGTTGCTGCGGCAACGGGGAGGATGTCCCGTAATTAGGGACGGAATTCCAGCGCGCAGTAAAGGATGCGCAAGGCAAGGCCTGACTATGGCAGAGAGAGGCAACCATAAACTTCAGCCTCTCTCCCCGCGTTTATGGCCCTTTTGACTGTCATATATGAACGCCAATGCGCTGCGGCTAGCTCCCATAAACACAGTGATAACAACAGCAAATATGGCGACCCTAGCCAAAGGAGAAGGGCTGTTGGAGCAGTGTTTCCAAAGCCAATCAGCGAAATGACAGTTTACACACACACACACATATATATATATGTGTATATATATATATATACACACACACAAACACACACACACACACACACACACACTACACAGAGAGAGCGAGACAAATAGAAAACAAAGTGTGGATAGTGCAATGTTGAATGTTTGGCAACAATAAATGTTATGGAGATAGATAGGCAAAGTGTGGGCCTATAAGTTACCCACATTGGTTCAATAGCACAAATTTCCTTCACCTGGAATGAAGAGTTGTAAAATAAAATATCTTAAATTGCTCAAAGTACTGTGGGACATGGTTCAAATTCATTGGAAACGCAGCAGCTGCAGCATAAGAAGAGAGCATGAAAACAGGATTTCTTTTTCTTTTTTTTTTTTTTATTTATTGAAAATCATAATTAACCACCGCACAAAAAAGAATATCTTGCATATTTATGTTGATCTACATTTGTGTAGTACCTTAATTAAACATTTAAGATTATGTGACATCATTGTTTAACAAAGCTGACAGCTCTAATAATTAATTCGTCACTGTACGAACTTTCATTTTCAAAAAAATAAATATAAATTTATGTTTAATTTGCATGAAGTAGTGAGTATGTGTGTGCGCGCGTCTGTAAAGTCGCACTGTTCACAATTTGCATGCGAGCCCCTCAGCTCTGCCGCACTGTCATGTCTTAACTGTTTTCTACACATAAGCGTGAGTTGAATGTGCTGGTTTGGCGTAAAATGATTGTCAGGTGCGTATTATTCTTCAGCAGACCTACATCTAGAAAAAAAATTTAATAAAACAAAAAATGTTGCGGAAAAAGAAAAAAAAAAAAAAAAAAAAAAAAAAAAAAAAACGAATGACCACGCAGGAACTGATTTTTTTTTTCAATAACCTTTTCATTTGTTTTTTTATTTGGAAATATAGTATAATACACAATAGTTTGGGCATACCAAGCAGTTGATTCAATGCGGTGACCCTGACCAGCCTTGCCCTGACTGCACACTTGAAAATGTATCTTTTAAATCTTTACACTGCAAGTACCAAAGGATCACAAGTCATGAAGAAAAATATTCTGTTATGCGTATCGATATTAGACCGAAGAGGGCCGCTGCATATATATATACCTGTGTGAATATGTTGGGCGTGTACCTCAGTGCAACTCCACACGGATCCAATGGACGAGCTTATCTCTCTGGTTTGGCCTGCATTATCAATACTCGCCTGATAGTCTCCAAAAATCAAAAGAAGAGGACAACACGGATTTGGGCATTGAAGGGTACTCAAAATATAAATACTCAGCCCTCATATTCTGCAGGTCACAGGAAAGACGACAAAAGCTTGTTTTGAGGTCAGCCCAGACTCACCACGAATCCCAATGGCTTGTCTGTAATAATGGACTTTGACTTGATTAGGCGTGGCATTAAAGGAGATAGTAAACGAGTGGCTACAAAATAAATAAGCTGACAAAACAAACACGTTACATTCTCATCCTGTTCGGACTCATTTGGTCACACCAATATAGATTCAGTCACATATCCGCCATCATCCTAAATACACAACTTTTCTGATTTTAAAAACAGAAAAAAGCAAAATAAATCTTTTGATTACAAAATACACTGAATCCGTCAATTAGTGACTTAATTTTTTTTTTTTTTTTTTTTTGCCCGTTTGAAAAAAACAAACAAGGCGTCTGTGAGCCACAATAACATTAACATGGGCCTTCGCACGCACAGTCTTGGCTAGGACAAAAAGTTTCCGTTTCTATACACCCCCCCCCCCCCAAAAAAAAAAAAAAATCAGAGTCTGAAGAGCGATATCAAAGTCAACGGACTGTCTTAATTCATGCTCACTCTTGAGGTTATTCAGATCACAGGATACTGTTGTCCTCGAACTTGAAATTAACCATTGAGCAGTGTTGCTTCTGCTGCTGCTGCTGTCGCAGCCATCGTGGTACACAATGTACACAGGGAGAGTCACAGCCGGAGAGTCAGTCTGTGAACGCACTCGGTCCCACACCAGAGTGCTATCTGAGCTGAGACGACGTCGTCTTGACCTCTAAAGCAGAGGATTGGACGTATAATACTGTAATCTATCTCTGTTCAGTTTCTTCTCCTTCATGCGGCGATTCTGAAACCAAATCTTCACTTGCCGGTCGGTGAGGTTGAGCATCCGAGACAGTTGCAGGCGTTTCTCCTTGTTAATGTACACACTGAAAAAGAATTCTCTTTCAAGTTCTCTGATCTGATACTTGGAGTAAGGACATCTCTTCTTGCGGGTCCTCTGTCCATCTGGAAGCCACAAAAAAAAAGTATTATCGGTCATAGAAAATATAAACATTTCAAATAAGCCATGACTATGTAACAACAAGATTTATACACCCTGGATGTTGCCCAGATTACACATGAGCGGATTTCCTCTACATAAAGCATTAATAACATATTTCCCATTTCAACATTTCAAGTGTCATATATACTGATATTATATTACACTGGAAAGATTACCAAACCATTCGCTGCTGGTTCGCTAGACAATACACTTGGGCTTTGACCTTTTCTAGCAAATGAAAACAACAAGCTCACTTTCAAATACAAGCGCCTACCTAGCTACAGAAAAAGCAGAGTGTGCTACATTAGACAGTTTATATGAAAATATTGGTTTTATAGAATACATAAAGGGGAAAATGTACAAGTGGGAACACAACCTCCATGATAGCTTTAACACAAGAGCTCATGTGTGTGCTAAACCTTAAACCAGAGGCGCCACCCTCATTACATGCAAATGCGCTTTTAACGCTAAGAAACCGTGAAACAAGCACGTTTATAATAGATGGAATTAACGCAGGTCTGCAGCCGGTAGGAATTCACATTTATAACTGGGTGCTTTTTTGGAAACGTCAGGGAGTGTTACAGAAAAATCACGGCCTGTTGTCTTTCACGGCCAATTTCAATTCCAAACACGTGATCCTGCAGTTTATAACAAAGTTTTGTTGGGAGTGGGGGGTCTACAGGCCCTCTATAAACCTTATATGCTTATAAAACAGCATATAAAATTTTTAACAGCAGCGCGCAAGATTGCAAACTTTCTCTCATAACCAAGGCGCTGACTTTAATACGTACTGCTGCTGCTGGATTTCTCCTCATTGTTGCCGGAAGACAACTCCGGGCTGCTTGTCTCATCCCGGGGCTCCTTTACTTCGGTGTCCCGGCACGACGGAGCTTCCTCCGGCGCAGAGCCGGGCTGCTTGGTCGCTGTTTTGTCCCCTGAGTAGCCATTTGTGGAGGAGCTCTCCGACGCGTTGCCGTACGCCGTCTCGTAAAACTGATCGAAGGCTTGTGGCAGCACGCCATTTCTGCCCACGTTCCCGTAGAAATTGGAGGCGGCGGACCCGGCGCTCGTATGGTGGTGGTGGTGGTGGTGATAAGCGGCGGCGGCGGCGGCTGCAGGGCTGTTTTTACCGAACATGTCCCCTACGACGGCGGTTTGCGCCGACAGACAGTCCCGGTGCACCATGTCCTCTGCGCTCGGGTAGCACTGAGGCAAGTTCCCTCGGTGCGGCCATTTACCGGACGCGTCAATGGCTGCATAGTCCCTGAACGTCACCTCTCTGACGGGTTGGACCTGCGGCAGGTTAGAGGAGTAGGAGTATGTCATGGGGCGGGTGGACGGGGACTGGGACAAAAACGAGGGAAGACCGGAGAAATCAGCCCCCGCCGACACGTAATAAGTGCAACTGGGCAAATACATGTTCGATCCGACGGGGACCCTCTCGTCAAAATCCATCATCGTAGTTCACCCTCTACTATAACTCTATGTTGGGGTTTGATTCTTCTATAACCGCCCTGAACATGGCTCTGAAGCGCCGTGCCTCTTGCCTCTTTGAAGCAGGTTCGCTAAACAGAAATTTGGAGACGTAAGCTGACGTGGAGAGCCATCTCCATCCACTCCACGGAGGAGGAGGTCACGTGACCACGCGGCAGAAATTGACAGATTTTCAGGCTGTGTGTGTGCTTGTCTTGCCTCTGTGTGTGTGTGTGTGTGTGTGTGTGTGTGTGTGCGTGTGTGTGTGTGTGTGTGAGAGAGAGAGTGTGAGTGTGTGTATGTGTGTGAGTGTGTGTGTGTGTGTGTGTAGGCAAGAGAAAGAGACTGTGTCGGAGTGTAAGAGACATGACTGCTGTGTGCCCTAAAGCTTGACATTGGTGGTTTATCGCCATGTCGGCTTAAAAATGAATTCCTCTACATGCAACGAAGTCAGAAGAAGAGAGAACTATAACTGGATGCTGGTAGTTAAAATAGAGAAGAGGGATTTCTATCGAGGCTTTAGCAAAAATATCAATAACTATTTCCCAGATGCTCTGTGCGCGTCCACACTCAGTCTGTCCTGGAATAACACGTGTGCGTATTTTAAGCTTTTCTAGTTTTGTTTGTTTTTAAATGATATATACAGTGCATGAAAAATAAAATAAAAAGATTCTGTGTACTAACTCGTCCGAACCCTACCTGACAATAACATTAACTAAACTAGTATTAAACAGTACATAGACAACACCGCCCTAAATTGGAGGATGGGGACAGCCAGCTTATCTCTGAAGTCTCCTTTAGAAATGTCTTAGTCATCATCATTTGGTGGTTTTACAACAGAGCATTTGGCCCAGTGGGCATTTGGTTATCAGGGTCATGTTCAAAGTAGCGGCTAATGTTTCAGCTGGCCACAGCCTTGTGTTCAGTGACAGTATAACTAAGACCAAACTGAATTTTTTTTTTTTTTTTTACAAAATCAATATTGGAGAAAATCTTCAATTTTATAGTAACACAGAATAGCAATTTTAAGAGTGTCGTTTGTCGTTTTGTTGTTGTAATATTTAGTTTTTAGTCACAGCAACAGAAGAAACCGACAGATTCTTCTCAGAAAAGACCACAGGTTTATTGAGGAAAAAGCGCATGAAGTGAGGGTTAAAGTCTGACGCCTACAATCATTAAAACAGTCTGCTCAATAGTCAAATGTTAGAGGCTGTTTAGAAAAATAAAAGTATAATATTTTAAAATGATCCCTTTCCCTTGTCTGCCCCCCCCCCCCCCATATTAACATTTAATGGCTCCACTAACATCTCAAAAAAGTCGCGATATTCAAGCTCGATCCACTTTTACGCACGGTTATTTCTTTACGTTTTGGTGCAAATATTTATTCATTTGTGCGTCGTTCAGAAATTTACAGGCACTTTTGTGTTCTGTTGAATAATAAGTTCCATCAGTTCACAGGGTTTTTTTCTATTTGTTCTCATGAGTGATATATAGATACATATGTAAATCCCATCAAAATCAACACACACAAATTCAAAGGGCAAAACATTGTTTTAAAAGAATAATGTTGCGTAGGATTTTGAAATGTCTGCAGCTGCATTTTGCAGTCGTGATTTGAAATATCTTAGCAACACTTTCTCCAGAGATCTATGCTAAATTCTGAATGTGAATATAATCCAAATATTTTGAGGCCATAAATTGACATAGGCTAAAGGAAAACGCAGATAATTGTGAACCAAAGGTTTACTTTCCATAGATGCTAAAGTAAATTATGACAACAAATACAGAAGGCTGAATATTTTGAATTGCAGAGATTTCTTCTATTTGATTTGGTCAACAAGTTACAGTGCACATTCCCCTGCTCTCTGCTCTGAGGCCACCGTGGAGCTGGTTTTGGAGAGGCTGCAACCTGACTCTAATGTGCTGTGAATGAGAGACCTGAGCTCGGATTAAGACCGTCGCGGCTGGCCTGGCCCCACAGCCCGCTGGTGCACATTGGGACCCAAGGGGCTCCTGATGGCACATGTGAAACACAACCTTAAAATATCACACACACTAAGACGGTGCAAGTACCAACTAACACCCCGTGAGTGTATCAAAACAGGAAAAAACCATGCAGCCTCTGTGCTATCCTCTGTTATGCTCGCAGGCCATTTTATTTGAATAAATTGCAGGGACACAAGCAACTCTAGTGTCTCTGCGACCACACGCTCCGCCTCTCGGTCAATCCAGACAAATTCTACGAGTTGTGCTGAAGCTTTTAAGCTGTAATTGAGCACAGGATGCCCAGGAAAACCAAAGCCAGCTCTGCACAGACCTGCGTTTTTATAGCTGCTATAGTATTCTGCAGTGCTTTTTTTTTCTCCCCGGCCAGACAGACACCACAAAACTGGCCAAGCGTGGTAGGAAGTCGCCACCTACACGGACTCAAAATCAGCAGCTGAGGATTTTCAACAACATAGAAACATTATGTCTGCACACAACTAAGGTAAGATTTCTACTTATAAATATTTAAGCCCTATCTCTGATCATTTGTGCAAAAACTACTTGAATTTTGAAAAAATAATAATTGTCCTAAAAATAGAAACAAATATTAAAAGGTTATTTTAGGTCAAATGTGTTTTGTATTAAAGGAATTCATTCTGCTCATTCTCTGACTATGCTTCTTGTGCGGTTTTTCTTCACCAAAACTGCAGTCTGGCGCTGCGTAAAAGCCCTCAAAGCCAAAGCTTTGTCTGTACGGTCGACTTCAAGTTCGGGGGAGGGAGAGAGTCCTTCACAGAGAGCAAAGAGCCCACTGTGCCCCGGATGGAGTTCCTTTAATTGCTGTTGCATTAACGCAGGCTTTAGGTTACAAGATTGGTCGATAATGTGCGCTTGTGACTGTAGGCTGAGGAAAAGTAACATGAATTCCATCTTCGCATTAACAGTGCATCATAAGAGATGTGGGCCATCAGTATTCTCTCTGTTGTGGGTTAGGATTCAACTCTAAATAGTAAACTAGTGACACCGACGACTCATGATTTTAAGTTGGAGAATTGTCATCAAACCTTAAAGTCAACATTCACTTCATATTTTCAGATTTTGGCACCGAGGTAGAGAAAGCAGTGTATTTACACTGACACGGTTTTCTTCCAATTAAAGTCTTAATGTTTTCCTATCTTACCACACACGCACACGCACACGCACACGCACACACACACACACACACACAGACACAGACACCCATTTACGTTTTTGGATTAAGCACTTGAATCGAAAATGATATGACCTCACTGATAAACACAATATATTTCACTTTAAATGAAGAGGAACTACTAATCCAGAGTGATAGAAGTGCAGCGGTTGTGCCAGGAAGAGAATGCGACACACAGATTGCCCCATCCTTCTGCCATAAAACCTTGTTAGACAACAAGTAAACAATCAAGCCTGGGGAGGATCTGAAAGTACAGTTTAACGCCACGTCAGGTAGGCCTATAGGCTGTAAAGGAGGCTAAATAGGCGCATTCAGTGTCTTGCAAAGAAACCTCCTGTAGTTTGAGTCTTTAAGTGGAATAAAAAAAGCCCGGAGTTTTAGTACAGGCTGTTTTGTTTTCATTTTATGGTATAGAAAAAAAAGAAAGCAGCCACCACACCTGCACCTCAAAGCATCAAAATGAGAACACTGTGTGTAGTCGACTGTAGTGTGCTGAGCAGGAGGCCGAAAAGATACACGGGCAGTCTTCTTATTAGACTATAAGAAGACGGTGCCAACTGTGTGTGCGCCATGTTCTTATACATGCATTCAAAGGTCACAAAATACAACTTTGCCACACAGGAGTTTTGTGATACGTTAACAGTGGTCCTATCACCACAACAAATGTAGACCAGGCTGAGCTGAATAATAAATGTATAATTTTTCAACCAAAATCGATTTAGTTAAAAAATATAAACATATGCTACGTGTTTAGTTGCGTTTTTCTTTGATTGCCCGTTTTCAGATTAGATTAGATTTTTTAAAAAGTGGTTTTGAACTTGAATGATAGGCTAAACGGTCTTGGCACAGCCGTTACTATGTTGCTGGATACACTGATACAAGCCTGGAGTTGCTTGAGGATTATAAAACCATCAGAGTGAAACATGAAACAATCACAGCTTGCACTGTAGTTGAATAGGAAGTGAACGAGCAAGAATAATCTGAGTAAATTTGAACCTGATTCAGCGAACAACTGTTGATTTATCCACAGGTGACAGAAATGTGGGCCGACAGCGATGGCGACGACAGAGGGGCCCAGGCGGACCACACAGGGGCCATGCAGGGAAACTGACCAACTCCACGGTCAACGGGAGCAGCCACCGACAAAACCAGTGGAGACTCACAATGCTGGATTAGCCTGCAGAGGGTATCCTGGGAAACAAGACGTCAGGAGGAGCGGGCCTGGACAAAAAAAAGGACATAAAATTGACTTCAGTGGGAGAAGAAATGAAATCTTACAAAGGAGAAAAAAGGAGAAACAATGACAGAAAGAAATAGGTCGCAATTCAAGTGTAGCGAATGGCTTTGAATTTAATTAAAACAAAACAAAAAAAAGGAACTCACTGCAAAAACTAGGCTATGGCGTCAGAAAACCGTGTTTTACGTTAACAAAATATTAGAAATTGAATTTGCACTTAGATCCAAGTCTTCTGATTGCGTGCCGATGCTCAAAAACAAATAAACCAAAAAACAAATTTCAAATACTTTAAAAAGAAAAGAAACCTCATTTTAAGGGTGTCTTCTCCAGTGGATACGTTGATTAAGAAAAGTCTATGTACTGTTAGATCTTTCGTTTTCATCATCTCATGCTACATTCGGCTTTAGATTCATCTTATATAACAAGATACAAAAGGATATTTAACAGTAGATGACAACATGAAATTTGCAAAATGTTCAAGTCAAACCCGCGCGACGCTCGCAGACTATTTAGATAAGAAAGTTTGAAACTTAGAAATTGAGAAATTCGCAT